CCATACACGCAGGTCTCCTGCTTCCCTTGCTCAATTTCTTTCTTGTAGGAATGCACTAATCCTGAGCTTGGAAAAAGTGGTGTTTGAATATTAGCCAGCTCTCCTGGAACCCCTTTCCTTCTAGCACTCTGACCCAAGGTGCTCCCTGAGGAGGTCATAGTTGGCTCTCTTGAAATCCAGATTTCCAATCCTACTTCTTGCCCAGCTTCCTCCACGCAGGATCGTGAATTCCAGCATCTTGTGGTCAATGCAGCCAAGGCTGCTCCCAACCCTCACATTTCCCACATTTCCTCACATAACCTGTTTGTTAGTAACAGGCCTAGGAGCGTCCCTCCCCTTGTTGGCTCATCAACCACCTGTCTCCAGAAGTTATCTGCACTGTTCTGCAGCAACCTCCTGGACTGTCTGTTCCTGGCTGTGTGATTATCCCAGCAGACATTAGGGTGGTCAAAGTCCCCCATAAGGACCAGGGCCTGTGATCAGGAGCCTTCTTGCAGTTGCCTGTAGAAGGCCTCATCCACTTCTCTTCCTGATGAGGAGGCCAGTAGTATATGCTTAGAAACAGGTTCGTAGGGAAAATCTTGCTGTGTTTCTGGATTTACTGTAAATACAACTCTGTTGGAGCACTCACTGAAAGAAGATGAGGCAGTTGGCTCAAATCCGTCTCAAACTTGTCATGATGCTTCCTCTTTTAAACTGAGTTGTATAGACAAAAGCTTTATTTTCTATTCCTTCTCTTCCATGTACAGACAGATTTGTCTCATGTTAGGTCTTGATGAATATGAATCAGGGACCTGCAAGTCTGGTTAACAAGTTGACCATGAGGCAGCAGTGTGCCCTCTTGGCCAAGAAGGCCAGTGGGATTCTGGTCTGCATCAGGAGGAGTGTTGCCAGCAGGTCGAGGGAGGTGATCCTGCCCCTCTACTCAGCTCTGGGGAGGCCGCACCTGGAGTACTAGGTGCAGTTCTGGGCTCCCCAGTGTAAGAAGAATGTGGAGCTTCTAGAGAGGGTCCAATGGAGAGCAATAAAAATGATTAAGGAAGTGGAGCATCTATCTTACAAGGAAACACTAAGCAAGCTGGGCCTGTTTTCGCTGGAGAAGAGAAGGTTGAGAGGGGAGCTGATTAATATGTATAAATACCTGAAGGGTGAAGGTATAAATACCTGAGGGGAGGAAGGGGCCAAGCTCTTCTCAGTGGTGGCCAGTAATAGGACAAGGGCAATGGATAGAAGTTGAAAAATAGGGAGTTCCATCTCCACTTGAGGAGGAACTTCTTTGCTATAAGAGTGACAGAGCCCTGGAACTGGCTCCCTGGGTAGGTTGTGGAGTCTCCTTCTCTGGAGGTCTTCAAAACCTGCCTGGACACAACCCTGCGCCATATGCTCTAGGTGCTCCTGATGGAGCTAAGGACTGGAGTAGGTGATCCCTAGAGGTCCCTTCCAACCTTAATGATTCTGTGATTCTGTGAATAATACTTCTGTGTTCCAGTCACAAAAACAAATATACAAATGACCCACAAGCACCAAAATAATCCACATAGTTTTTCTCCATTCATAAGGACATCTGACAACTGTACAAAATTTCATGCAGCTGTTTTCCAGTTGACCCTGGTTAGACAACACTAGCTGGGAATGGTCAAATAGTGTGATTGGGAGAGGAAGTGTCCCGATCATAGCATCATATCTTTCAGGAGTGGTCGTGGCAAAATAAATTATGTAGCGCACTGAATTTACCATATCATGAACATCTGTGCACAAAAAAAAAAAAAAAAAAAAAAAAAACCACCCACAGCTTCAGTCTGGCAACAGGACCTGACACTTTCATTATTTTTCAAAGCCTGATAATGTACTTGTGTACATGACACAACATTTGCCAGTAATTTTGGAGAAGGTATTTATGCAGCTGCACTTCAACAAATGTGCCCTCTAGAAGCACACTACAGGTGCAACATGCTATAACCTAGGTGACATGATTAGATGCCTTTTTTACACAAAAAGATAAGTGGCAAATCAGTACCACATTGCGAATTAAAGTCCCATTATATTTTTCCCATGAATGATAATATTGCAGGCTTCCTACAACAGTGGCCAGGATGACCAGTGAGGTAAGGCATCCATATAAGCAATGTTACAAAGCAGTAGTTTCTTTCTACTGGCCTTTAACATTGTTCCAAGTCTGAAAAATAAAGAATCTTGTGAAGTAGGCAAAGAGATGCTGATGGAAACGGAAAGCGATTTTTGTCAGAAAATCACTTTTAAAGTTTAGGAAGGCCTTTTAAAGTTTAGGCCTTTTAAAGTTTAGGAAGCAATGTTGAAAGTGATCAGGAGGAAATGACTACTGACTTCATAAGCACACTAAAACTGTGAAACCAGATTATTTGGGAAGCCCTACTCAAACCCTTGTGATTATCTCACAGAAACTATGAAAGGGAATGACTTCAGTAGGATGGAATAGTTCAGTAACAGCTCTAGCTACCCGACAGATTCCAGGGAGCAATAATATTTAGTACTCTTGCAATTTCTCTCCATATGCCCTTTTAAATGCAGTTGCTTCCTCTTACCCTCAGTTCTCATGATGAAGAGGTTAAAAAAAAAGAGTAAGGAAAAATCTAAGAGAAGAATCTGAGAGCTAAATTGTTGTAAGGAGGGGGGTGGAGGGCTGAGAAGTAAAATAGAGAAAAGAAATTAATACAATAAAATGATCAACTCAATCCTATAAACATTTTTTTATCTACATGCTCAAGGTTATGAGTAGCTACCTAATTACCAATGAGGTACTTGTAGGCTTGAAACCAAATCTGTGTGCTTGCAAAACACAGAAGTTGGAGAGATCATTGGTGATTTATGCATTCATTAATTAAACCTGTGCTGGAGTATCTGTTTTTGATCAGCTCTCTCAGATGGGTGTTATTTCAGAATTAAAAATAGTAATAACTCTATCAGCAAACGTTGTTCTGTTATCCAGAAATTAGACCCTCTTCATTTCAGAAACAGCACTTAGATAGGAAGTTACTCTTTAGTAGACAATCTAGAATAGCCAATCTGAAAGTTAAGTCAAAGTCATTTTCACAGAGGCTATTGCATACAGAATGTATTTGCATTTGTGTGGGTCTCATTATATTTGCATTTGTCACTTACATAAAAAAGGGCTTCTTTTCTTTTTGAGAAGATAGTGGGAATAATCTGGATAAATTCTTAGTAACTCCAAAACAGGCAAAAATACCCTCACTTGGTCACTTATAAAACATTACTAGTCCTGTTTTTTTTTTATTCAGAACACACAAAAGAAAATCAAAAAAACAATAACAACAAAAAAAACCAGCTTTTTAAAGCTCAGTCATATATCTATAAAGTTGCTAGTTTGGTGCGAAAGGGAGAGAAAGCAGGAAGCTGAGGGAGATGAAACCATTTTCACATAGGAAAATCAGGAACTGGCAGATGTAATGACAGCATCAGATGTCTTCGGTGACAAAGTGTTTACTGTTCTCTTCAAGATGTCACCACTGCCTCTGAAACCACATCCACATTGTCTCTGAAACCACATCCATTGAACCATCACCCCACAGCCTGCCCAAATAAATGGATGTAGCCAATACAGGCATCTTAAGCAAAACAGAAGCAACTGAACGCACAGAATTAGGCCTAAGTCTGAAGAGTTACACACCTGATTAACTTTGCCCACCATAAATAGACCCATAAAAGATTATGGAACTCGTAGGAACAGAATAAAGACTACAAATGTTTGCAGAATTGGGACTTTGGTCAATAAACACTTAATGTCAGAGAAAAATTGACACATAGGCAAATGCTAAGTATTGGTACAGTGTTATTTAGAGTAGCCATGACATCTGGGCTACATGGGTTATTTTCTAATCCATTCTACTAATAGTCTGTGCTTGATACGTATGCTAGTGCTCATATTTTAACTGAAATATTATCAAATGTATGCAGCCAGCTCTTCATCATCTACTGGAGTAAAAGTGATAGAAATGAGCCCCAGAGGAGCAGTCCTTGAAGGAAATCCTGGATTTTTTAAAACCTGCATGACTGACTGCATCCACTGCACATACAGTATCTCTCTCTATGGCACTTGCCCGCACCTTTTTTTCCAGCTCCTTTCACAAAAGTGAGAAATGATCCTTGGTGGCCTGATTTTTAATCTGATAACCAGCAAGGTTTGCCATGTGGAGTCATGGCTGCTTCATATCCCAAGGGAGATGTGGCACCAGGTGGGTGCTCAAGGGAGCCCCTAACAGCACACACCTCAGTAGCAGCCTCAGCCTGTGGCTCTGCTTGCAGGCCTAAAATAGCCTCACCTATACCAAGAGGTCTGACACAAACCAACATCGTAATAGCTAGATGAATCATTGTTACAGTGCATATTCATTACAGTCATGATTTCCAGAAAGGGATTTTGCAGCTTTCTCATAGCTACAGCATTTGTTGCTACAAACAGCCTACTGTTTTCCTAAAGGTTTGAGTTCTGACTGCTTACATACCAAAAGTCAGCTTTAAGTTGAAATTTAATTGTGTTTTGCCTCACTTTGCACATCAAACTTTTCATAGGCATATGTGAAAAAAATAAAATGGTTTAACTGTTAACCTTGTCCTAAGTGTACCTTCCATGAGACAGAAAAACAGTTAAGCTGAGGTGATGTGTTCAAAGTTTAACTAAATCCATGCAAGTACAGGCAAAGTAGTGGCCTGCATGCATGGCGCCTTGTAGGGAGGCATCTACTTTTGTGCGCCGTGTAGTTCCATCACTGTCTGGTGGAATAACTCTCGACCACGAGAGCGACTTCCCTCCCCTCCGCTGCCCCGCAGCGGCAGCGACGCGGGGCCGGGGCAGGCGGCGGTGCCAGCGGCGCTGGGCGAGCGGGGGCAGCAGGTCCGAGAGCGACGGGCCCACAGGGGAGGGCGAAACGCACGGCAGGGAAGGAGGGAGGACCGAAAGGGGGAGGAGAAAGGGACGGCTTTAGGAGCAAGGGAGCGCGGGGAAGCGGAGCGGGACCCGGCGAGAGGCGGATTTAAGGAGTGGCACCGTGGGCAAGTAACTGCTCTGCGCCCCGTGCCCACCTCGGAGCCCCGCTGCTGCCCTCCTCCCCCGGCAGGATGCCTGTGAAAGGAGGCACCAAGTGCATCAAGTACCTGCTCTTCGGCTTCAACTTTATTTTCTGGGTAAGAGACTCGCGCCCGGCCCTGCCTCGTGGAGACCCCCCGGCCTGCCCGGGACAGGGCGCGTTTGCCCTGTCCCTCCTCCCTGCGCGCCCGCCCGGGGTGCTCCCCGCGGAGCAAGGGGCTCCCATGTCGCCCTGCCCCGACGTGGCTCCGCGGGAAGGAGCTGCCTCATCCTCGTCCCCGCCGCGGCCAGGGGGCGACGGGAGCAGGCGGGGGTGGCCCCGCGAGCCGCGGGGCGCTCCTGCCGCGGGGGGCGGGGGGCGAGGGG